AAAGTGTGAGGGAATCAGCATTTCTCCTGCTACGAGTGACGGGACAGCCGGGGACATCACAGAGACCTTCTTGGGAAGTGGGCACCGGAATCCTGAGGCCGCCTGCCAGGAAGCCCCATCCTGGAGTGAGGGCCGGGCTGGGTCTCCCTGACAGCAGTCTGGAAAGGCTGGAGTGGCCTGTCAGGTGGGGAGTGGGCTTCTGTGCTGGGCAGACCAGAGGGCGAAGTGGGGTTGGGGGTGTGTACTGTGTCCTGGGGCCTAAGATCCTGCCCCTCTGGCTCCAGGCCGGGGGGTGGGCAGATCCCCCCTAGAGGGAGGTTCAGGGGCACGAGGGAGCCCCCACCACCGTGGCCAGGGATTGTGGGTTTGGGGATGGGGTGCCAACCCAGGGTGTCGGGGTAAGGACTGGCCTGCCCTGGACAGCCCCCAGGGCTGCCGTGGGATTTAGCAGGACTCAGGGTGGTTCTGGCTCAGGCGGGCAGGTGGTGTGGCCTTGGCTTGCAGGCCGGGCTCTGCCCTGGGGTCCAGAGCTTGTGTTGGGGCCTCACCCTGTGTCTCTCATGTTGCTGTGCCCCAGCTGGGGGGCTGTGGCGTGCTGGGCGTCGGCATCTGGCTGGCCGCCACCCAGGGGAGCTTCGCCACGCTGTCCTCCTCCTTCCCGTCCCTGTCGGCTGCCAACCTGCTCATCATCACCGGTGCCTTTGTCATGGCCATCGGCTTCGTGGGCTGCCTGGGCGCCATCAAGGAGAACAAGTGCCTCCTGCTCGCTGTGAGTGCCAGGGCCCAGGCATGCTCTGGGTGGGACCATGCAGGGTGGGGCTCCGGTGGTCCCCAGGCCTTGGCTGCTGCAGTGACCCCCAGATGCAGGCCTGACCTCCAGGTTGGGAGTGTGGCTACTGTTGGGTCTTCTGGGCTGCACTGGGGCTGGGGCTGATTTGTGGAGTGGGGGCGGGGGTCACTGGAGAACATGCTGTAGCTTGTCGGGAGCCTCCCTTGACAGGGCACTGGCCCTGGTGAGCACAGGCACAGCCCCATACACGTGCACAGGCATGCACAGCCTTTCATGGGCTTGTGGTCTCCATGACTCATTCCTGACCACCCCACCCCCGCTGTGGCCCCTTCCCCAGTTCCTTGTCCGGGGCCTGGTCTCTCAGCTCCCTAGGACCGTCTGCTGGGACCCTCCCAGCCCCCACCTCCCCTCAGGGGCGGACTTATAGGCAGGGATGTGTTTATCCTCCTTGGAAATGTTCTCATCACAGATAATTAAAAATGAAAAGGGCTCCTAGATGGAAACACAGGCTTGCTACCGATTAATATGCCTGGCTGAGGCCGTGGGCCCGAAGTGGGTCTGCAGCCTGCTGAGGTCCTAAATCAAGAGGCTTCAGATCACCTCTTTGTCTGAGAAGCCCTGGATGGGGTGGGGCCTCCCTTAGATCGCCTCAGCCAGCCCACTCCCCTCTGTACCCCTTCTTGGCGGTGAGCCCCCCATCTCTCAGCCTCCCCGGCATCCGTTGGGGCCCAGATCCCCCTGGAGGCAGTAGGTGGGGGTCTGTGGCAGCCCTGCTGGGGCTTGGAGCTCCTCCAACAGTTGAGGAAGCTGCTCTGTGTAGGCCCCGCCAGGCCTGCAGGGATAGAAGCCCTACCCCTTTCCCACAGGTGACTTGGGACCAGAACCCTGGGTACCTCCTGGGGGTGAGGGGCTCCTGTGTCCTTAGCCCAGCACCCTGTCTGCCCCACTCACGCCCACTCTGCCTGGGCCCCCCAGTTCCTGGACACACCCTGTCCATGCCTGCCTTCCTCTTGCGGGTGTCAGTGACCTCCGCATGGAGGAGCAGCAGGGCTGGGGTCAGGCTGAGCTTCAGGGCTGCCGCCAGGAGGGGGAAGCTTGCGTGGTCAGAGGTGGGGTTGCAGCCTCTGGTCTTGCTGGAGGGGGCATCAGCCACCCTGGCTGCTCTGAGGGCTGTGACGTGGGAGCGGAAGGGGCCTCTGCAGCCCAGGTGTGACGGGCACCCCGTGAGGCACCCGCCGGACACTCACAGGCCCCTGGACGGAGGTGTCTGAAGCCAGCTGACAGGGGCTAGAGTCTTGGGAACAGGGACTTGTGCCCACTTGGGGGTGTCTGGGTTGTCCCAGGGATGGGGGCAGGGGAGGGGAGGGGAGGGGAGCCCAGGCCAGCCCAGGGCCCTACACTCAGGGGCTGAGCAGGACACGACAGCCACAGTCCCTGGACCTGGGGCCGAGGCTGAGGGTTCTGAGGTGGGGGTGGCATTCTGGGGTCTCGGATTGGGGGCCTGGCAGGGGTTTCCTGGCAGCACCAGGTATCCATGAGGTGTGTGGCCCTGGCCCCTGGCATGCTATGGGGTGGAGGCCATGGGGCCTGCCAGGTCCCTGTCTGAGCCTGCCCCCCCCAACAGTTCTTCCTGCTGCTGCTGCTGGTGTTCCTGCTGGAGGCCACCATTGCCATCCTCTTCTTCGCCTACACGGACAAGGTATGGCTGCCTCGGCCGCAGGCCCAGCTGCAGGGCTGGGGGCTCCATCCTCACTCCCAGGGGGCAGTGGGCCCGGTGTGGACAGAGTGGCCCCCGATCTGCCCTCCCTGGCGGCCAAGATAGCGGGTGTGGATTTACCAGGCCTGGAGGGGGAGCACCCCCAACCCTGGGAGGCTATGCTGTGCCTCTGCGGTGACTGGGGCACGAGGGCACTGCTCCCCCACCCGGAGGGCGCGCCCTAGGTCGTCCCCCGACACAGCGTCCCGGGCTGTCTGCTCCCAGCGCCTTGTCCTGGCTGCTCACCGTGGGGTTCTGCTCTGTAGAACGGCCTCTTCTTGGTCACTCATTTATATATTCAGCCATTTGTTTATATTGGGATGAAGTCACGGCTATTGAGGCTGCACTCTGAGCTAGAACACAACACTGCTTTGTTTTGTAAATCACACTGTCCGTCTTTGGCCCTGGGGATGTGCCCCCATCAACAGACTTTTCATTCTGGGGCACGTCCTGACTTCCTGGCACTGTAGGGGGCTCCAGGCTCCTCCTGTATTCCCTGCCCTGGCCCGGGAATCAGCCCCTTTTCCAGGGTGCCCTGGGTCCTCACTGAATATTGGGGACCATGGCCGGGGTGCTGGGTGGGCTCAGCGCTCACAGCTCCTGGCTTCCAGCTCACAGAGCACGGCTGCACGTGTCCTGACACGTGGAGTCACCTGTGTCCCTGTCTTCTGTCCCCCCAGGACCCATGGTCCTCCCCCAGCCTGGGGAGGAAGCCCAGAGGTGGGGGCCCTGGGCCTCAGGGCTGCTGGGAGGACATGGGGCCGGTGTGTCTGCAGCTTGGTGGGCTAGGAAGGGCAGGAGACACTTCAGGACCAGGCACAGGAGGGGCCCAGCTTAGGGGCCAGCGAGGGGGTCTGGATGAGGGAGGCGGGGTACAGTGGGAGGGGCCCTGCTGACCCCCCCGTACCCCCAGATTGACAGGTACGCCCAGCAAGACCTGAAGAAAGGCTTGCACCTGTACGGCACGCAGGGCAACGTGGGCCTCACCAACGCCTGGAGCATCATCCAGACTGACGTGAGGCCTGGGCAGGTGGGCGGGGTCAGCGGGTGCCCCCTCCCCTCCAGCCTCAGCCCGACCTGAGCTTGTCCCCCAGTTCCGCTGCTGTGGTGTCTCCAACTACACCGACTGGTTTGAGGTGTACAACGCCACGCGGGTGCCTGACTCCTGCTGCCTGGAGTTCAGCGAGAGCTGCGGGCTGCACGCACCTGGCACCTGGTGGAAGGCGGTGAGACCCCCACCCTGGGGGCTGGCGGGGGCCTAGAGGGTGGGACCGGCAGGCCCTTCCGTGACATGCAGGGCATGCCTCCTGCAGCCGTGCTACGAGACGGTGAAGGTGTGGCTCCAGGAGAACCTGCTGGCTGTGGGCATCTTTGGGCTGTGCACGGCACTGGTGCAGGTATGGCCTGGGGACTGCAGACTCCCTGCTACCCCTTTGCTGGGGCCTTCTGAGCCCAGGGAACAAAGTAGCAAAGGCCTTGCCCCCAGGAACCCATGATCGGGGAGGCTGGGGCAAAAGCAGGAGGGTGAGTTCGGGGGGATGGGCAGGGACGGCCTGTGGGGACGGTGGACTCCCTCCTAGTGGACAGAGGCAGAGGCTGGTGTGGGGTGGAAGCCGGCAGCTGTCCGTGCTGGTTGGTGGCCCAGGACTGACCAGTGTGCAGAGAGTGGCAGCTCAGGTCCTGGTGCCTGTGGCCCCTGCTCTCCAAACTCCACAGCCCCCAGGAAGTCCTGGGTGTCCTCATGCTTGCAAGGCTCAGGGGAGGGTGCTATGGCTTGAGCCGCAGGGGTTGGATGGGGTGTGTGAGCCAGCAGGAAGCTGAAGGGCTCTGCGCTGTGTCCCTGCCCCGGGGTCAGGGCCAGGGCCAGGGCACCTGCTGAGGACAGGGACCGCTCTGGGCTTGAGGCCTGAGGCCATGGAGCTGCTATGCCCAGCCCTCTTCCCCTCCCCACAGATCCTAGGCCTGACCTTCGCCATGACCATGTACTGCCAGGTGGTCAAGGCAGACACCTACTGCGCATAGGCTGCCCGCTTCTCTGCCAAAAGGACGCCCACAGGGAGATGGCCGTGCCCACAGCTGCCTTTCCCACCACCAGCCTCGGTGCTCTGCCCCATGCTGGGAGGAGGGAGGGAGGAACAGGTGCCCGGAGGCCCTGGAACCCTGTTTCTAGAAGGCCCTGGCTCAGGTGGCTTCAGGGCCTCCAAACCCCCCCCGGGAGGGGTGGCCACGTGCTGGCTATGGAACCCAGGGCAGGGGTGGGAGGGGTCTCCAGCACTTTTTATATTTACATATTCTCCAAAGCAGTGTTCACACGGGTGCCAGCCTGTGGCCCAGCCTCCCGGGAAGCGGGTTGGGGCTGCAGGAACAGCGGCTTGGCATCCTGGAAGTGGCCCCACTGGTCCTGGTGCTCCAGGCAGGGCCATGGAC